TTAAAATATTTATGGGAATGCCAATGAAATGAGATGATACGTGGATCATTTAGATATATAAAAGTGGCAATAAGAATATTGATGATGATTAATATTTAGTGGCAACTTAAGCTATGGTTAAATGTTTATACCTCACTTTAAAATTGTCACTCGCATGTGAGATGGGATGCAATATTAAAAAAAATAATAAATTTAATTGTTCGGTTAGTAGAATATAATGAAGAGAATGTTGGAATTTCACTTTTTTTCTAATACTAAGACATAAAATAAATATTTTTTTTTCCGACTCTGAGTATATAAGTTTTCAATTTATGTCATTTTTTAAAAAATTTAAAACTAAGTTATATATATAAATACCTATTTTTTCTTGGACTATTTTTGTAATTCGTTCATTTTTATAATTCTCTCAAAAAAAAAAAAAAAGTGGTATTCTAAAAGGAAAAAGAAAATAAACCTTAGTTTTCAGTGTAACAGGTTTTTTGGGGGTCTTTTTTTCATTTTAGTACCTATGTAGCGGTTTCTAGTTAAAGAAACCCAATTGTTATCCACATAAATATTGTTCATCCTCGTGATCTAACATTATGAAATTCGATTATGTTTGGTATATATCCTTTAGTGAGATAATCCATAATGTTGACTGATTTAATGCATGTTAATTAATTACCTAGGAATCATACCAAAACAAGAAAAATGTCTTTTGATAATTTTCACGTTTCTCTCATTGCACCAGCATGTTTGATGTTTTTCCTCGTACACAAAAGAAAATGTATATGGTTATTATTTTATTTTCTTTTTCAAGGAATATGCTCCATTTTTTTTAAGGAATATGATCTTCACTATCATGCGAAATTAGAAAGCAAAATTTATCTAAATTGTTTTTTTTTTTTACTAGCAAAGTACAATAAAATATGCCAACTTAATTAAATGTAAATTGGTACTTATTTCTGACTAAAAAGTCACGAGTTCAAATCATTCAGTTCACTGTAAGAAAAGTACAATAAAATACAATAGAGTTGAAAAAAAAGTTATGATTATGATATCTTTTATATTTGGAGCTTCAAAATATTGTACGACTATTGACTAACTACATCGACAGTCAATCGATTCCGATTGAAATCAAGGCAAGATAATAAAGCAAATACTCGAGAGAAAGGGAAAAGATCAAGAGATAATGAGAGAGGAGAGTAAAGGCAAATGATAGAAAGGGAGAATAAGAGAGGGGGGGCAGAGAAGATTAGAGAAAGGGAGGGAAGAAGAGTACACAGAGAGGGGGAGAGATAAGGGTACAAAAAAATATTTTTCTTTTTAAAATAAATTGAATGCACTGTTTGGAAAATTAGTAGTCTCGTTGGTTTTCACAGCGGTATTTCAGTTTGTATCTTTTTTAAAGTTATATGTCAGTAGGTTCGATTGTTCTTCATCGTTCAAAACGATATTTTAACTTGCATTTTTTTTAAAGTTATATGTTAGTAGGTTTGATTTATTTTTCATCGATCGACCCAACCAATCAATCAAATTTTGGTTTTATTATTAGAAAACTTCGATCAAAATTAGTGGTCAGATCAATTGACTGATGTTGGTTCGATCGATTTTGATCGATTAGACTAATTTTTGGAAATATTTTGCTCACTCCTCATCCAAATAGTTTCCTTGGTTAGTATATGTATATTATTTTTGTGACATGGGATTTATTTAATTAGTATAGTGGGACTAAAATAATAATTAATATAAATTAAAAGCAAAACTTATAATAATAGATCACAAGTAAAACGTGAAAATACTTATTCACCTTCCGCATTTACCTCTCTTTCTACGTCACTTTCTTATCCAATTTATGCTTGAATTTGTGTCCTCTTATTAGGAAAAGACACACATTCCTAATAGATTAATGAAGACAAATTTGATCATGGATTAGACACCAATATTAAAAATGGTCAAAGTTATCATTTTAATTTTTATAATTTATACTTTATTTCAATTTAATTCATATAATTTAAAATTTTCCATTTGGGTCTTTAAATTATGAAAATATCTTCTAAAACACCCAACATCATCCATGTATAATTAACTTACGCTACGCGGCACTTTCCTGTTTGACATCGTCAGACGATCAACGTTTAATAAATTTAACAATGTTTTGATATATTTAATCAAATTAGATTGATTGAATTAAAGTAATTTAAAATAAAATATAAATAATATTTTTGACTAATTACGTATCTCGCAGAGGGAAAAAATTTGAAGAGTTTATTAAATAAAGGTGGGAAGGGTTATTGAATAATAATAAAAAGGGAAGTTGAATGCAATACAGGTGGGTTTAATTAGGTAAGGCCTCCAAAATATCTAATCCAATCACAAATGAATTTGGTTTACATTTGGGCTTTTTGGTGAAACAAATTTTGGTTATATTAATTTAATTAAAATAATATATGGTGTTAAGTTAGCAATCAACATTCAACGGAGCCCACACCTTCCTGCCTCTCCCATATATTCCTCAAAATCTTTTATTATTTATTAGTGTCGTAGCTAATTTAAGTCTGAGTCGTGGGATTATTGATTAATTAATTCAAATGTAATGTTGTACGGAAAATATTTCTTGACCTCTTCCGTTGGTATCTGACTTTGCCCAACAAATTATTGGAAACTGGTGCCTATTATTCCTATAATTAAGCATTAGAGGTATGGTATGAACTTTTTTTATTTTTATATTTTCTATACTCTTTATTCAATAATTTGTTTACAAAAAATAAACAGCCACAAATAGTTAAGAGAACGAATGGTCAAAATTTTGTTGAGAAATATGAAGAAATTAGAGAGACACGAGATTTGAAGTTTGAATATAATTAGTATATTAATTTAATTAGGGTGTATAAGAAAAAGGGTTTGATTCTCCCCGTAATCAAAGGCGTTTGGGGAATTAAATTGTTAACAAAGGGCAGGGAAAGGGAAGGCCGGCATGAGATTAAGAAGTTTCCATGATTATGACACAAACATTATCCCCTAATATTTGGATATTTATGTTTCCTAAAACACCTCAAGGAAGAAAGTAATTGGATTGCTGGTTTATTATTTATTATTATTATTATTATTTTGTGCAATATTTAGTGCTTTCAATTTTTTCTCTTTTGTGCTGTTAATCAATCTCTCAGTATCTCAGTAGTTATTGCTTATCTAAGAGAGCAATTTCAAATCGCTCTTTCTTGTCCACTGTTTAGGAAGACTTATATCTCTTCCGGTTCAAGATTTTAAATGTTTATGTTGATGAAAATATCAAAATCTCAATTTCAAGAAGATATCGATTAAATGTTACGTATATTGATATTTTTGTAAAAGTTAGAGAATTTAAAAATTGTAAAGAATATTTAAATTAACAAATAAACATTTTTCTCTTTATAAATAAGTTAAAAATGATTAATATTAATATTATATATATCTTAGTTACATTTTGTAAATTTTTTTTATATTTTATCGATTTTTTTAATACGATGAAAATATTGAATTATCATTCATGTCGATGTGAATCCATGAATACAAGAAAATGTAGATAGAAATGTTGATAACTCAACAAGTATTTCTCATGGTTTATACCACTCTTCCTTTAGGCTATTCAATTTTTTCCCTTTCTCGCTTAGGTCCACTTTTGAAGATGACTTATCTCTTGTGGTCCATGTTGCACCATTTAGTAATTAATAATAATGACAATTTCAGCCTCATGTGGTTTAAGCCGCACCTTGAATCCACTGGACTTGAAACCAAAGAACTCAACACCGATGCGGTATCCCGCCTAATCCACTCCAACGCTCAAATTAGTAATTAGAATAGAAATAGGAATAAGACACCAGAGATATTAGTGATATGTTTTTCACTTACTTGGTGAGGATGATCGTCCTTCCTTTTATAGCTATGGTGGGCCAACTAGAAAGGATGGCGGTTGGAGGTGGTAGGGACATCGCACACGTTGTATAGAAGGGGCGCGTTCCCGACAGCAGCAGGGTAGTCACGTTGCCTGCGCCTTCTGGACATGTCGCCCAGGGCTGCGGCTGTGGCTTTGTGTGGGGCATAACCATTTACAGTCCTTCGTCTCCCTGATGCGTTCTCTGTTCGGCAACATCCCTTCTGAGGAAGTGGTTCTTAGTGGCCCGCACTTAAGGAGGGACGAACTCGTGTTCTGTTCGGACGCTACCCATAACAATTATAATTTTAATTCGTACATTTGTTTATTATTATTTTTATCTTTTTTAGAACCTCACGATGACAAACATAAACCCAAATTTATAACTTCTTAGAAGAAGTCATAAAGAACTATGCTTATATATATTAGATTAGATGTTCAAATCTTCGTCGATGAATTTGTAACGAATAGCACATGGGATGTTGCAAGAGAATTAGATTAATGAAAAAAAGGGGCCGAACATTCAAAACGTTATGATACGATCAAGAGGATAGTGAGATGGGGAAATCAAATAGCGAAAGAAGAGAGGAGAGAAAGGAATTGTGCCTAACAAAGTGGGCTTGGTCAATTATCATGTCCATTGTCCAATGTCAGGCTCAATTTTCTTTTAATAATAAAATCCAAACCATACATGCGTTTGGTTTATTATCATTTAATTTTCTTTGATCTAGCATGCTCCAAAAAAAAAAATGACCTAGCTCAAATTGTTTAGCTTGTATTAGACTACATAGTTTTGTTAGGCTAATTTGACTCGTGAATTCCAATATCTTCAACGGAATTTATTAAAAATCTTTATATTAGTAGGATGTTATCCACTTTGAACATAAGTGTACCTAGTTTATTTCTACTCCACATGCACTTTTTTTTAACTAGCTTTCTTCCACTGTTCTCTCAGTATCCCCTTAGCCTAATTTCCAAATACATTTAACGTTGAAGTCCTTGGGGACTGAGCAGAAATCTTGACCCTTCTTCTACTTCCTCTACTTGCTTTTGGGTAAATCAGAAATTTGAAAGCCAGATCTAACATATTTTTGAAGTTCTCGATCAGATGTGTTCTTAATTTCTGGAGCTGAGTAAATGGGGAGCTGTTTGTCTACTGGCTATCAGAGTAGTTGCCATGGTGGAAGCAATGGAGAGACAGTTTCTGGGTCCTGCTGTTTGGGAATTGGAGTTGGTGGTCGGATAGCAAGAAAGATAACATTCTCAGATCATATCTTTTCTCTGCAGCATTTGAATTCTATACCAAATAGACTTGTGTTTAATGGAAAGACTCGAAATTCTTGCATTTTCACGCAACAGGGTCGCAAGGGTATAAACCAGGATGCCATGGTTGTGTGGGAAGTAAGTTCTTCTACTTATTCTCGTCGGATTGTTTGGTTCAATTCAGTTTAAACAATGTACAAAAGGGTTAATTAATAAAAAATTTCCCGTGTTGTGTTTTTTTACTTGTTTCCTGATGAGGAGTTCAATTTCTCTAGGACTTTATATCCGATGGTGCAGTCTTTTGTGGGATATTTGATGGTCACGGTCCTCACGGTCATGTCGTTGCACGAAAAGTTAGAGACGTTCTACCAAGAAAGCTAGTGTCATTCTGGCAGTCATCTCAGTTGAAGCATAATGGATCAGATAGAAGTTCTTGTTTCGGGTGGGGGCGGGGGAATTCCGCAGATGGTGAAGGGTTGGAGACGGCTGGATCAGAGGAGGATAAATCAAGTTCTTTATGGAGAAGAGCTTTCCTAAAATCATATAAATCCATGGATAAGGAGCTCAAATCTCATCCCAAATTGGACTGTTTCTGTAGTGGTAGTACTGCAGTCACTCTAGTGAAGCAGGTACATATAATAAACGCTGATAAATGAGCAAGTTTTGCTACATTCTAAAACGGTTTTATTTATTTTCCTCCAGGGCTCAGATCTATTCGTTGGAAGTATCGGGGATTCTCGAGCAATTCTTGGATCTAAAGACAGTTGTGATTCCCTTGTAGCTACCCAATTGACAGTAGATCTAAAGCCTGATTTGCCCAGTATGTCGAATCCATTGCTTACTCTAATGAACTGATATGGATTCTAATTTGCTCGGGTTGTTTGCCGTGTAGGAGAAGCCGAAAGGATAAAGAAGTGTAAAGGGAGGGTATTTGCATTGCAAGATGAGCCAGAAGTGCCAAGAGTGTGGCTGCCATTTGACAATGCGCCAGGATTAGCCATGGCTCGAGCATTTGGCGACTTCTGCTTGAAGGACTATGGAGTTATCTCTATCCCCGAGTTCTCGCATCGCTTGCTTACGGATTATGACCTGTTTATTGTGCTTGCTTCAGATGGGGTAACCTTTCTAGTCCACCCACTTCACTTGTAAAACTAAAGAACATTGTCTATATAGCTGGCAAGCAGAAGCAAGCATGTGTTTGAAGTTTTATTTCGATTGTCAATCTCCAGAATTCAAGACAGTTCCCTTGCAGGTTTGGGACGTATTGAGCAATGAAGAGGTAGTCGAGATAGTGAATTCCACCTCGACTCGGTCATCTGCAGCCCGAATGGTGGTAGACGCGGCTGCTCGTGAGTGGAAGCTCAAGTACCCAACTTCGAAAATGGATGACTGTGCAGTAATTTGCCTATTCTTGGATGGGAAAATGGATTCAGAATCAGAGAATGAAGAACAAGCTTCTTCTGCTGCTCTTCAAACCAATCAAATGGGCAACAACACTGCAGATTCAGATGAAGAGCAGAGGTCTGAGCCAAGCTTGCAAAGGAACAACACAGTCCGATCATCGGAAGAAAACGACCAAATTGGAGGACTATCTTCACATGGTGAAGAGAATGGAGAAACAATGTCTGCTGAAGATGAGAATTGGTTGGGATTGGAGGGTGTAACAAGAGTAAACTCTCTAGTTCAACTCCCTAGATTTTCTTGAACTCAGACTAACGTTGGTGAAAGTGTTTTAATGGGGGATGCAGGAGCCAATTTCTGCCACCATTTTGTATCATTGCGATGCAGAAAAACTTGGCTTTCAGCTTCCATGGAAGAATTCAATTAACAAATTCAACTCCCTAGAAACAGGGAAACATCCTTTTTGAATCTAATCATTAAATATATGTTTGGTGATAAATGGTATGCAGGGCTGGGCGGATGGCATAATTTTCTTCGATTGTTTTTTTAAGTAAATGAGCCATCCTAATATTTCATTAACTATGGATTGAAAAATATTTAAAGTTTGTATAAATTGAAAACTCTCCAGCTAGTTATTTCGTATCATGGATGAAAGGGACCATTTTCTTCATTTTACTTGGAAACTTGAGAATCAAACAAAAATCTAGGTGGAATTCTTTTTCTCTCTCTGAAGTTTTAAATTAATAAAAGAAAAAAGTCTTATAAAACCCAAAAATACTAAAATAGATTAGAAAGAGGATAAAATCTGAAAACTCTAAAAATCTACATCAAGACCCATGGTCGATGACAAAGATGGAAAAAAGGCACCGGCAAAATAAGCCTAGTTAATTGCCAATATAACAACATTCTAGATTTGTAAATAGTAAAGAAAAAAAGAGAGTCCAACAACTAAAATAACCTCGAAATAATTGCTTATTGATGATATATAAATGATAGACTAGATCATTAGATGATATAGTTTTATATTACTGATAGAAACATAAATAAGTGATAAACAATGGTAAATAGAGAATTACGTAAAAATTTCTAATAAGATGCCAGTGAAGTAAGCAAATGTGAATGAATGTACAATCAGTAGGGGCAGAGATGTAAGTAAAATTGAATTTAGGAAAAATGAGTTCTTTCTTCACATGAAGTCTTAACATGTCTAATTGAGACGATGATTATCGTCCAAGTCGAGAAGGTTGGTTTAGTGAGAGACACGAAACGTGTTAAACAACTATATTCAGCTCAAATGTATGGAGAATAGAAGCTACCATTGTTTTAATTTCAGGAGCTGCACACAGATCTGCCCATTCTTTAGGTTTCCCCATCCTCCATTGTGGAATCTTCAACTACAGAAAGCTACTCGTACCTCCTATTACTACTACATTTATGAGCCGTAATAGCTGTTGAGGACTTCAAAACTCTCTCTAGTCTGTTTCCAAGTGTTCATCATGCTCCTTCACTTATTCATAGCCAACCCTTCCAACCCTTTCTTGCATTTCGATTCCCCCTTTCCATCCATGTTTCACCATTTGATTTTTCAACCTACCGTTTCAATTTTCAATAAATGGACCAATTATCTCCTTTAACTCACCGCCAAAACTTCATCTACCTCTCCCCTCAGTTCCCCATTTCCCCATTTCTATAAGAAGACCTCTCTTCCTGCTTCTCCATCACCAAACAAACCTCTTCCTAGTCCCTACATTACTCACAAAATAAGATAAATGGCTTACAGAACCATTTCTTCTCTGCTTCCTATCCTCATCATCATCATTCTTGCAGTAGCTGGAGAAGCAGCTGCAGCTCGCAATGCTCGGGAAAAGTCCAGCATTGATGATAAGAAACAGCCCCAATGGCTGGTTGGATATGATGGGGTGAGCGTGCTCATTCCTGGCATTGGGCGCATCACACTGCCACCATATGACAAAGGCAGCTTTGGAGAGCATGCAGGTTCATATGGCAGTAACCCAGCTTCAAGTGGTCAATATATTCCAGGTGGGGATGATAATTTCATTCCAAATCCTGGATTTGAGGTGCCAAACCCTGCCAATATTGGTGTTGTTAAAGCAACACCCCATCCTTGAGTTCATCTAGAAATAATCAGCAGAATAAGAGTGCAATGTTCATCAGCCACTCCTTAGTTCTTCCATGCATAACTTCTAGTCTGATTCTACTGAATTATGAGTACAAGTCTCTAGGAGAGATAAAGTTGCAGTCTTTGTTATGGTTTGGATCATGTGTCTTAATGGGGTAGAGGTCTAATAACGCACTTGCACTTGTTGCAAGATAATTAATGTGAAAACAGCAGTGTATGTTTGTACTAGTTCCAGTTTCTCAGCAAATGTATGGCAAAACATTTATGAACCAGATCAAGACACTTTTGTTCAAAGGTTATCTATCCCATCAATTGCATTTTAGCAGAATCCACAACTCAGTAGAATATTGGCATTGCAGTAAAATTGATGGTCTTTAGAAACCACTAGGGGCAAGTCTAGCTCAATTCATCAAACATGATTCTTTAATAGCCGTATTAATGAATACAGCAAAAAACAGATGCAATTGTGCCAAAATGGAATCATTCAGAAAACGAAGCTAGTTGAGAAAGGAAAAGATTATGATCATGTATAAAAATGAAACAACCTAGTCTAGATCCTACGTGCTTGTAGGTCTGAGAACCAAAATTAGTTTTAGTTTTCAATCAAAATGCAATTTCCAGTTCCAAATGTGGGAAGGAAAGATACCATCATAACAGGAATTGGCACAGCAGCAAAACACAATTTAATAGAAATGCAACTTCCTTTAAACCATCCCCCGATTTTCATTTACATCAGTAGCAACAAACGCTTCAAAAACCTCAATACATGTGTCAAGAATCAAATGAACATAATAAAGCAAAATCGAAAAGGAAAAAAAAAAATCTTAAAAATGGAATGTAGAACTCCCTCTCTCCCTCCCACTCTATTTGAAGAGCCTCAAACACCGAACATCTTGAAAATGATGAAGCAGAGGAAGCCAAGAAAGATGAAGAGAAAAAGGTAATCGACGAAGACGAAAAACGAAGTGGAGCCGTGATTTCTCTTCTGCTTCTTTCCGGAGACGTTGTTATCTTTGGCCTGCTGGTCAAGTTGCTCCAGTTTCGCCATTATTGAAGCTTAGAGTTGCAGGATGTAAAATAGAATTAAGTAGATCTAAAGTTCGTGTAGAATATTGCAAAATTCGCCTCCCCTCCCGACAAGGAGGGTCTCTGCCTCTGGTTATCATAATCATGCATAATCCCATTTCCCACCCCTGTATTTTCTGGGCCTCCTTCACACATCAATTTGGGCTTTAAGCCCATTACACTATCCCACTCTCTCCTCCTTATCTTCCCAAAAGGTTAGGGCAATCACTTTTTAACTGGACAATAATTATAATATTAATAATAACAGTAATCTGTTCAATTTTTTTTTATTTTGTTTTAATAATTGAGATAATCGATATAGATTCTATTTTATTTTTATAATACTGAGCTTCAACTCTATTGTTCATTGTATAAGAGTTTGATAAATTAGAATAAATAGATCAATCCAAATTTAGCACAACTGATTAAGACATATATTTTCGATTAAATTATACGTTCTAAGACATTTCTTTAACTTTTATTGGGTTCGGAGATGGCTGTCACCTTTAATTGACTTTTAAATTTGTAGGTAAAACGTTGAAAATGTTTAGCAATCAAAGGGTGAGAGTGAAGTGTGTGCATCTGTGGCATTGCCATTAATTGGTGTAGATATTGTTTGATTGTAATGAATTTTCGCATATGTTTGATAATTTTTGTGTTAATGGTTTGTGATTTTTCATTCCCACATGGCCCATCTTCATTTTGATGGATGCTTCTAGTGTTGTCAGTCTCCTACTTTTATCAGTTGCATTATCAACTTGATGTATATTGTGTTTGGAGGCAATTTATCGATTGTAACATGTCAACTATCAGGATGGTTAGAGAGGACAAAATAAGAAGATTCCGCAAAGGGATATTAGGGACACCAGTGTCGAGTTATGCTATACTATACATATATACTGGCCGAACTATGCAAAGTACAATGCGAGGTTAAAAAGTAACCGAAGGAGCATAAATGACACACATATTCGTTCTACGACACGACAGCTTGATCCTAGGTTGTCAAAAGTTTTGTCAGGAGCTCACCTCTATAAATAGAATGTCTCACCTCCTACATATATAAGTTACGCAAAATATATCATCTCTAAAATATAGATTGAATTGTGTAGTAACTAGAGTGTTAGAGTGCTAAGTATGTTTTAGAGTGCATGCTAACTATGTTTTGTAAGTCATTCGTATTTTGGTGCATGCAGTGTAAGTTTTGTGGATCCGAGCTTGATCAACATTACGATGAAACATATTATTTGTGCTCTATTTTTAAAAGAGTTCCCGTTACGAAAATTAAATAAATTTATCATTTATCTTAGAAAAATTTAGTATATTATCATGAATGATTTGTTTTCAAAATCAATTAAGTTTGCCATTTCTTTCAAAATTAATTATGGCGAAAAATAAAATCAGGAGCGTCTAGTACCAAAATGGACAATATCAAATAAGTGTAAAAATGGAGAAAAGTGTATTGACTAGCCGTTGGTATGTTGCAAACGTAATAGTATATGGTTGTAAGAAATAGGAAAAGATTCGTTGTGTTTTATCGTGATCTGAAAGCAGCGAATTCGTCCAAAGAAATTGAGGGGGGGCGCTTTGTAAGGACCAGAGAAGAAAAATAGTTATTGCGATGACTTGTGAAAATTGAAAAAGACCCACCCTACAATTTACATAATTAATAAATAGCGTAGTGCTTTCACACGGGTACCCCACACGTACATATACAAGCCAAACTCAACCACTTCTACATTATCTGTGGCCAAGGAAAAATGAATCTAAATTTACATACTTTAAATCAAACATATTCATTTATTTTCAAAATCCAAACCCATTGTAGTCCAGAGAAAACAATCATCTTTCATTGGCTGCTACGTCACTGCCAGCTCTTCCGCATCGTCTCTTTAGCAATACTGACTCAATAGAAGAATCATAGAAGAAGTAGACCCTAGCTACCCGATGAAGCCAATCATGTGATGACACTCAAGATCACACATTTATATATCTTAACTAATTGAATTATCATGTGACAATTAGCATCGAATTAGGTAATTAATTTCTCATCCTAAAGGTTTTAATTTTGTGCTCGTTGTTTCATCTTCAACCGCACCACATGGGATGCTGGGTTTCATTTTCAACAGTAGCTAATTAGTTTTTGAAAAAGGAGTAGAAATTTGGACAAGTGACCAATGGGTCACCTGGACTAAAATAATTGAGTGATATTAACTTAAATTGGGTACTGTGAACGTGATGCAGTACCTACTGTTTATATATAGTGAAGATGTTTGCATATTCACAGTCAAGGATGAAATAAATTAGAATGTTCCACTGGTTAGCTGCTATGGCTGTCCAACCACAACCTAGCTAGTTACTGGTTTTTAACTCTTTATTTCTATTCATGGAATATAACTTGTCAAAAAAAAAAACTCTTCCTCATCCACAGTTTGATAGCAAATAACTTCAATTATTGAACTCAAATTCTGTTATATCCTATTTCTTAATATTTTGTCCCTTGTAATATATGAATTCGTCCCTTAAGTAAAGAATGCATTTTTTTCCCAAAATAAATTGTCTAAATTTCAAAATATTTTTGAAATCTAAGTCAAATTTTTAAAAACAAATACATATTAAAAAAAGATTTTGAAACTTTCTTACGTACTTATGATCATTCCCTCCACTCATCAACGTGAGACTTTGTTTGCAATCACCTTACAAACCAAAAAACATCCTCATCATTTACTAGAGGAGAATATTTGGAATAAGGGAGACTTTATGACAAAAGAAACTAGCATTTTACGTTTGCAAGATATTTATTAAAAAAAAAAACAAGGTAGCCAAGCGAGATAGCAAAGTTGTAATTGAGTACATATATTTCCCATAAGAGGGTGGAAGTTCCACATGTTTTACAAAAACAACTTTTCAAATAAAAATAATATACATTTTTATTATAATGATACAAATAGAGATGAAAGGATCTAAGTCTAACTAAATGTTTCTAAAGTAAAGTAAAATTACTATTAATAATAATATAAACAATATCTTCCAGCTTTGATATATCTTTTAATTTAAAAAGCACCTTTTTGTTTTTTTTTTTTTTTCTTGAACCAATCACCTTTTTGTTTTTGTTTGAAATGAAAATCATTTTTTTATAAGTCATGTTTTGAGTACTAAAACTAAAGAAGTCTCAACCATTTTAATATAAGTTTTTTGAATAATCGTCTCAAAAATTTCTTCAAAAATAGATTTTAAATTCATCCGAATTTTTAAAAATATATTTTATTGATTACAAAACTTTTTACATTAAAAAAAAAAGTTTTCGTGATCTAATATAACTTAGAAGGTATAATTAACAAACTCTATTAATAATTTTTCTACATGTCCCTCTTAATGAAATGGTTTCTCCTTTTAAAAAAAATTTTCTACGGGTACTCGTAGAAAAGTAATTTTATTTAAATAAAAAATTCAAAACTCATCTCAAAATATACAGTAAGTTGTTAACAATACTTCATCAAATGTCAAAGTATTGATCGGTAGGAAAGAGAATGAGAAGAAGAGAAGAAATTTTTGTAAGTTTTTTTTTTTAGAAACTCATCTCAAAATATACAGTAAGTTGTTAACAATAGTCGATGCACACTTTAATAGTATGTTGATCTAAAGAAAATTCAACTGGCTACTCGAATCTAGTAGAATTTTTATTTCAAAATAAATAAGAATAACAACTCAAAAGAAGAAGGAACTCAAATGAGAAATGGTAGAAATCGTAAATGGAGGAAACCAATAACTACATATAGTCAAAGATATAATCTCTTACAAAAAATTAAACATACATAATACATGGGTTAAAGTTACAAAGTTAGACATTTGTAACTAAAAAAATAAAAAGACAAATGAATTAAAGAATTTGTTACGTAATTCTTCAATTTAAAAGCAAAATTATAGAGAGATGTATTCATATGTGAATAAATTTCTTTCAAATTTAATTTCCTTTCACGCATTAAAATCCAACATCAAGAAATTTAAAGAAGCTGCGTCAAATATTTTGGTGGTGGTCACTCGTGTAAGTACTTGTGAAGAAAATTATGGAGAGCATGGGCAGAGATGAAAGGGTCCCCACAAGCCCACGTACGCGGCCGATATGTGGTGCCAACCCATTACAAACTGGCCGGTGGGTTTCAGTCACCCTCTCCAATTTTGAACTTTTTCAATCTCTCTCTCTCTCTCTCTCTATATCCCTATCTCTAACCATGATAATTCATTGGTATTATTCCTATTCCTAGTCCTACTTCTGGTTTTCGGGCCTTTTAACCGTACCCCAGACGAAATCTCCACTACAAAACCCACCAGAGACACAGAGACAGAGATAATCTTTAATGGAGGCCGAGGCCGAGGCCGGTGGTGCAGGTAATGATCACGGTGAGTTGAGCGAGAAGGAGCAGGAAATCATTGATTGGTTCGAGCAAGTGACGAGTGACGCAGGCGTGGCTCAGTCCCGCACTCTCCGCCAGATTCTCCAACAGAACTGTGGCGTTGAGTACCTGAAGCCATGGCTGGGAGATGTCAATATCCACCAAATCCAAGACGACGACTCCGCATTGGAATCTCTCTTCACTTCCTCCGTACCACTTTCCTCCCATCCCCATTTTGAGCCTTTTCTTCAAAGAATCGCAGATGGCGACTCTACCCCATTACTAACTCAACTACCCATCAAAACTCTCTCTTTAAGGTACCCCCAGCTTAATTCTTCCTTTTTTCCCTTTCTTTTTGCCCCCTTCTAAATGGAAAGCAGTAGCTAGGTCTAGTCAAGTCTCAAGCGTACGTATTACTGTGACTGTGTGTTTTATTTAATTTCTTTGGCTGAAGCGCCCATTCTGTAATTTTATCCCGCTGCAGTTCTGGCACCACGGAAGGCCGACAGAAGTACGTACTCTTCACTCCCCATAGTGCTCAGACTACACTCCTCATATTTCGCTTAGCCGCTGCTTACAGATCCAGGTACTTTAATTATTTCCCCCTCCCCAAGAATCACAAAATTACACACTAATTAATTAATGCATAAAAAAAATTAAAATTAGGGTTTATCCCATAAGGGAAGGAGGGAAGATTGTGGAGTTCATTTACAGCAGCAAACAGACCAAAACCAAGGGAGGTATAACCACCGGAACCGCGACCACGCATTACTACGCGAGCGAAGAATTCAAAATCAAGCAGCTGAAAACGCAGTCGTTCACGTGCAGCCCGGAAGAAGTGATTTCGGGGGGAGATTACAAGCAATCCACATACTGCCACCTCCTCCTGGGCCTCTTCTTCGCCCACCAAGTCGAGTTCGTCACTTCCACTTTCGCCTACACCATTCTCCAGGCCTTCAACCAACTCGAAGAGGTCTGGCCCGACATTTGCCGCGACATAACCCATGCCTCGCTCTCCTCCACAGTCACCATTCCCAAAATGCGTAGGGCTGTTCTAGACATCATCTCCCCCAACCCATCTCTCGCTTCCTCCATCCGAGCCTCCTGCCAACGCCTCCGGGCCCGGGATTGGTTCGGTCTGATCCCCGAGCTGTGGCCCAATGCCAAATATGTTTACTCCATAACCACCGGCTCCATGCAGCCGTATGTCAAGAAATTGAGGCACTACGCTGCGGGGCTGCCGTTAGTGAGCGCTGATTATGGATCCACCGAGAGTTGGATTGGCGTCAACGTGGACCCTTCTCTTCCCCCCGAAAACGTTACTTTTGCCGTGGTTCCTACTTTCTCTTATTTTGAGTTCATCCCACTTTTCAGACAACACCAAAACCAAAACCAAATATGTTCCTCCGATTTTGATATTGGCGTTGATGACTTCTTGGAAGGCGAACCGGTTCCGCTGTCTCGAGTCAAGATTGGACAACAGTATGAGGTTGTTCTTACTACTTTCACAGGTCAGTCTTTTCGTTATATCTTTACGTATCTTTTCTATTCCATAGGGCTTCACCTCTCTGTCGTGTCTTCTTTCTAATCTCTGGATAAGTTTTGTCTCCTTAATTAATTATTTCGTTTCATACTACCTTATTAATTGATTCTATTTATCACTTTGGACACGATGGATCTGTTGTTATTATTATTATTTTTTCCCAATTTGTTGGTCACTTTCTCAACTTGGTTGGATATATGTCTTTTTCTGCTAATATGCAATCTGATTACGGCCTGAGTTTTCTAGGAGCTGGTTGATTGCCCATATAATTTCTAGTATCATTATATGGTAATCACAAAAATCATTGGAGCAATAATTGCCAGTACTCTCTATTTCATGGACGAGGGGTAAAATTTTCTTTTCATCCCCCACCCCACCGTGGTTGTACAGATTTTCTTTGTTTTTTTTTTTTCCTTTTTTATAAGATCTGTCAAATCATTTACCTTCCGTCGGTGTCAAGAAAGTTGATGAAATGATTTAAAATTCTTTATCTTGTTTGGAATAAGAATGATTTGAAACGAATTAAATTATATATATTTATTTGGATGTTGACTTGAAATGAAAAGAAAATAAAAATTTTACTGATTTAGGTTTTTAGTCTAAATTTATTAATTAGAAATTAAAATATGACGAGATTAAATAGGTAATTTATTTCGAAAGTTTGTCAAACTTGAAAATTTTTTAAAGTAAAAATAGGATTTGAAATCATTCAAAATCACGTGCTATCAAACAGTGGAATTCATTTGAAATTCGTCGTTTCCTTCAAAATTTGAGGTACCAAACAGAGCAAGCGATGACAAGATTTGATCCTACCATATGTATTTTACTTAGGACAATATAATATTGAATGGTAGCTCACCTGAATTTTTTCTTTTATTTTATTCAAAGTTTTCGTATGCCAATTGAGATAATTATCCTAATTAGTTACGGGGTTTTTTGTGTTTGGGTTAATAAGGTTGCTTTTGGTAATGTGAAATTGGATATGGCATTGGCAGGGCTTTATAGATGCAGGTTAGGGGACATAGTAGAAGTGAGTGGGTTTCACAACAAGACGCCCAAACTGAGCTTTATATGCAGAAGAAAGCTGGTGCTAACCATAAACATCGACAAGAACACGGAGAAGGATCTTCAAATGGTGGTTGAAAGAGGGGCCCAGCTGCTGGGCGACAAAAGTCAAAGCGGAGCCGAAGTAGTTGACTTCACCAGCCACGCCGACGTGGCCGACCAGCCAGGCCACTACGTCATCTTCTGGGAAGTCAAAGGTGACGTGGAGGATGCAGTTCTGGGAGAGTGCTGCACCCTCATGGACGCTGCGTTCGTGGACCATGGCTACGTGGTGTCCCGAAGATCCAACTCCATCGGACCTCTCGAGCTCCGGGTCGTGGAGAGAGGAACTTTCAAGAAGATTCTGGAACATTGTATTGGAAACGGAGGCGCACTTAGCCAATTCAAGACCCCTCGATGCACCACCAACCAACTTCTTCTCTCCATTCTCAATCTCTCCACCGTTAAAACCTTTCGCAGCACCGCGTACGCCTGACCCGCGCCAAACGACGACGTCCAATTGCGCACTGGTAATTTAACCAACTTTCCTTTCGCTTCTAATTTAATTCCATCTCCTCATTACAATTAATTAATTTATTGTAATATTTACCAATTTTAAATCATTTTCGGATCTGAGTTTTCCCTGTCTCTCTTTTCTGCTGCACGCCCTTGTTCTTTTTGCCTTCACATCCAAAAATCCCATATTTTATTTTACCCAAAATCATTTTCGGTCCTATTATGTATATCATCCGTCATCATATGTAATGTGAGTTGAGACTTGAGAGTTCGATTTACAATTCATCATTCGTCTCGTCTCAAATTTTTTTTTTAATTATTTTTTTAAACCTTTTTTTGTGTGTCTGAGAATATCAACATCTCGTTTTTTTTATGTATTAGTGAGAGGTAATATATTGTTGAACTGCCTTTCTCAGTAGTATATCGTTGTTAAATTATTATATTGCTATTAATAGTGCTAAATTAGTTCGGCGTAGTGTTTGTAATTTATATATATTTTGTTTTTTTTTTTTGGCCCAAGCT